ATTGTAAAAAGACTTATAAATTGAATATATACACACAGGAAGTTAGTTGGTTTAAATCAGGTTGGATTAAACCAGGGGTAGGCAACCTTTCTTAGCCGGGGGCTGGGTTGCTGTCCCTCAGACAATTGGGGGGCCAAAGCACCAAAAACAAACAAATAAATAAATAAATTTTAAAAAATAAAAATAAAAAAAATATGCATACACATTCTCTCAGCCCCAGAAAAGCCATGGCAAAACCCCTGTGGAGATTTTGCCAAGAAAACCCCAAGAACAAGTAATAACAACAATAATCAATACCATTATGGCGGCGGCAGCGGCAGTGGCAGGACCGGCTTGGGGCTGGTCCAAAGGCCTCAGGGGGCTGCATCCGGCCCCCGGGCCTTAGGTTGCCTACCCCTGGATTAAACTTTGGTTTAAACAGTATGACTTTAAAAAAAAAAACACGTCTGTTTTTGTTTTTTTAAATTGATTATTCATTTTTTCAAAAGTCTGGCTATGATTACTATTTTCCAGCCCTCTTACTGGAACTACAACAACTGTTGGAATTTAAACATTTTAACAGTTTATTGGCAGTAGTTCATGTTAGACCAGTATTCAGTGTCACTTGCTTCTTTTTAATCACCCTATTTCATAGTGCAAAAAATGCCATTCAGAAATAAATCTATCAATTAACATAAGTTCAACCAAAACAACTTGCTTTAAAAGAACACATTTTAAAGAACAGCTATTTAGCTAGTAGCCATAACATATAAACTAGATTTTGCTACTTAATTTTCTGATTTAGTTCTATACTATAGTCCTATGTATTAATGCCAAACAAACAAACAACAACCATGGTTTTAAACCTACCCCCACGTCATGGTTTAAACCGCCCTGGTTTAAGCCCCCAGTTTTGTTTTTTGTTTTATTTTTTAAAAAATTGGTTTTTTTCTAGCCCTGTTTACTTGACATATTTTTGTAAATGGAAATGTAGCAAAATTAGTTTTACTTAATGTCCCATTCACTAGTAGACCAAGAAAATTCAAGGGAATAAAGCCATTTGACAATTTATGTTGTGCAAACATGAAAACTTGACAGCTCTGAGGATGGGTGAATGGTTGCTTTTACTCTTGTGCATTCTAAAAGTAAACCTTTCACACTGCAATCCTGTGAACATTAGCCGTAAGTGCCATTCGTTTCAGTGGGGCTTGCTCCCATATAAGCTGATACAGGATTGGAGTGTAAAAGTATGAGAGTTAGATAGGCATCTTATAATTTCCCCCAGTAAAAACACAGGCCTAGCTGATGCTATTCTAGGTGCTCCTGTCAGCATCTGCAGAATCCCAGCTTGGACAGAATGCTAAGCTATTGATTCCTGGTTACTGTGTATACTTATGTATAAGTCTAGAAATGTCAGTAAAAAAAATTATCCAAAAAACCTGGGCCAGTTTATCCATGAGTCAATGTATGTACTAATACTAATTTATCAAAAAAGGAACCATCCCCTTCTTTGAGTAGAGTGGTGAAAGGCGAGAGCTTAGTCCATTCCTGGAGCACATAAAAATCATTGACATCACCCACCCACCCACCCCCAGCCACAATTTCACTTCTGACCTTTTTGAATCTCTGGGCGAGAGAACAGCGGCAGTGTTGGCTCTTGGGGACTTCCCCTCAAAGGAGTCCTGAAAGGAATCAAGCTTTGAAGGGTTTAAATAAGACTTTTGTATATGTTTGTCAGCTTTTCTGAGTTAAAATCAGGCAAAAATATCACATTAAAGTTAAAGGCTATAATTCCTGCTACTGTAGTTGCCATTTTCTTTGCTTTGCCTTTTCATCCTTTTTGACATTTTCTTAGTCTTGGTCACCTCTCTCATACATTGTGCAGCCATGATTTACTGTAGTTCCCGCCACATCCATCCAGCCTTTAATGTGAGCGCATATAGTTATGCCTGCTAAAATGTTTTTTCATATTTAATTTTCAGTGATTTAATGATCTAAACCAATCATTTAAAACATTCAAATTATTACAATCAACCAATCAAAAAAGCAAACAAGCATACAAATTAATACACAAGATATATTCTTCATCTATTTTACAGTCAAACTCCTTTCTTTCTTTATCCCTTCCCCTACCCTCTCCTCCTCCTACATTCACTCCTCTCTTCTTTCTCCTCCTCCCTCAGTCCTTCCCCCTTCATCTCCCTTTCTCCTTCCCTTCTCACCAACCTCCTCATCCTCTCCTCCCTCCCTCACTCTTCCTCTTACCCCTTCCCTAACCTTCTGCACCTACACATATCTTCTTCACCTACCGCTATCTCTCTGCCTGCTAGAATTTTGTAAGTTCCTTGACATAATTTTCTTTTACTTTGACCGTTACATCCTTTGCTATATGCCCCTAGTTTCTACCCTGGAGTTATCTGTGAATCATATCAAAATCCATAATTTTGGCCTCAAAGTCTGCTTTCCCTTGACTAATATATGACATTGACTTACAGTCACGTATACAGTATATGGTAGTTTCTGGTTATTTCAGTCACTCTATTCCTGCTGATGTTGGGAGCCAAGTGAGAGCATCCTGGCAGCATATACTAGCCCACTGCTTCTGAACAATAAGCCAAGTTTGTCTGGTGAGCTTGTTTCCTGGAAATTAATGAACTAATGCAAAATAAAACATCATTGATATTAAAGGAATTTGGATTCTGATCTGTCTCTATAGGGAGATGCTCTTTGTCTTTTTCTGATCTTTCTTTCTTTGTATTTCAGTAAACCTTGCTGCACTGCAATGCATTATCTAATAATTCTCTCCAGTGTGGACTTAAGAACTTTTTAATTATCCTATTTGCATTCTGTTGTTTGTTTGTTTTTTACAGCTGGTTATGGAGTTTTGTGGTGCAGGTTCTATTACTGACCTTGTGAAGAATACAAAAGGAAATACTTTGAAGGAGGACTGGATAGCATACATCTCTAGAGAAATTCTCAGGGTAAGGAAAAAGAAAACACTCCAATATGTTCGTTATTTAATCTGGTGCAATTTAAGTTCTACATTAACTTTCCAGTAGGGCTTTCGTGGTATATGACCTTGTTACATGAGAAAGGAATGGACCTTAATTCTTAAATAGTAAATCATTCTTAAAATTAAGCTGACAGGTAGACGTTTGTTTTAACACGGGTAATATGTGCTATTATCAGAAGTATCATTGATAAAAAATTCTGTGGGAATTTACTAGAGACCATATGCCATCAGTGGTCAGATATGATTCCTTGAACTCAGAATACTGTCAGACCCCTCTTGCTGCCTCTTCCTAGCTTTCAGGATGTGAGTAAAGCCCTCGTGTACGCTAACATCAGAGCCACTTTTGGTGGCTACTTGGGAATCCTACCTGAAGAACATCCACTGTTTCTCCTTCCAATAATGCATTACTTTATTTAAAACTTACTTGCCTGACACAAATGCCATATCAAACAATTTATAATTTGGGAAAAAATTATGATCACAATTATATTAAATTAAAAACAGCTATCAAAACTAGTATTCTTGGCTATATCAGGGGTTGCTGAAAAGCCACTGGTAGGTACTCTGGGTGGGAGATTGTTAGTTGCTTTGACATTGCTAAGAAAGCTATTCATGAACAGCAAGCAACCTTGCTTCTAATATTGGTAGCACACAAAGCAGAGCAGTGTGCGTGATTTCTGCTGGTAGGGAGGAATGATACAGGACTAGTAAGGGCTTTAGAAATCAAAATTGATGCCTTGACTCAAGCCAGTAAACTGTCACCTGGTGAAACCTTATTGGGACCATTGTAAAATAATAATAATAATAATAATAATAATAATAATAATAATAATAATAATAATTTTTATTTCTAACCTCTGCTTCAGCAACCGGGGCGGCGTACAACAGGTTAAAACTGATACAAATTAAAACGTTCCATCAACCAATCCCTAACCCTCCCACCACTTAAAACTAAATTAAACTAATGCAAAGTTACAAATTTGTATTATGCTTGCTGCAGTCTGATCCAGGAAGTAAGTTGAGATTGGAGTGGGTGCTATCCATTATATCTGGCCTTTTTGACAAGGGGCAGTCCATATTCTATACTTTGTAGTAACGAATCCAAGATATTGCCCTATACGTATAAAACAGTGAATAGATCTGTTTCCTCTAAGACAGGCTGTTGCATGTATATCATGCAAAATTGCAGTTAGAAAAACTGACCAAAGCTTTTATCTGATGATCCATCCACAGAATGACAGTTGGATACTGCAGTGCAATTACCTGTAAAAATCTAGATGAGCTCAGACTTGCCCTTGGATACATAAGCCCTTATCTCCAAGATTTCTTTTATGGTAGGCCCTCCGTATCCATGGATTCAGCCATCCATAGCTTGAAAATATTCAATCATCAATCACCATCATCACCATCATTATCCAAAAAGCAAAGTTTCATTTTGTCATTTTCTATAAGGGATGTCATTTTAGTACACGATAGGATATGATGGGATTTGAGCATACACAGAATTTGGTATCCATGGGATGTACTAGAATGGCGATACCAAGGGCCCCCTATACCTCCTGCCATACCAGTATAGATAGCTCTTTATTCATTAGTAATAAATAAAATAGTGAATGTTAGCACTTCTGCAGTACTGTATTCTAGGGACAAAATAGAGAAAACATGTACCTCCAGATCTTGATAAATCTCATCTCCCCACATCCTTCACCATTGGCTATGCTGACAAACAAGATTTGGTGTTCCTTGTTCTTGATCTAGAGGTCAAGTTTCTCCTGTGAAACATCATTGTCTTACCTTGTTCTAATCCTGTGGTGTGCTTAGTTTTATTATGACCCCTTGTGTATTTTCTAAAACATGGGATTAAAGTAAGCCAGATATGTTAAACTGTGACACAAAACCATGATTGAAGCAAAGTGCAGTGAAATATATTTTGTGAAGTTAATAGTAACCTCCAAAGTTACAATTTAAGTAACGTTTTTTACTACTTAGTAAAAGGAGCCAGTCAGGAGCCAGTGTGGTGTAGTGGTTTGAGTGTTGGACTAGGGCTCTTGAGACCAGGGTTCGAATCCTGGCTGAGCCATGTAAACCCACTGGCTGAATTTGGGCAAATCACACTCTCTCTCAGCCTTGGAGGGTGGCAATGACAAACTCCCTCTGAAGAAACTTGTGAAGAAAAACTCATAATAGGTTTGCCTTAAGACTCCATAAGTCAAAAATGACTCGAAGGCACACCACCACCACCAACAACAACATCTTTTACAGCCCAAATTATGCTTCTAGAGTTGGTGGTATTGATTTTGTAAAAGTAAAAAAAGTAAAAGCTTTGAATACTGCGATTAAAATAACTCTCATGCCATTTTGACATAGTTTAATGCAAAGAAAGGGGGGCACAAGTAATGTGTGTGTGTGTGTGTGTGTGTGTGCACATGAACACACATGCCTGTGTGTTGCTGGACAACCTAACGGAGAAATCATTTGTTTAAGTTATATTTCAGACTTACAAATAACTTTATTGTCCCACAATATTTTTAGTTACCTGTCCTACTCAACCTTTTCTTTAGTCATTGATATACCTGAAAAGAAAAGATAAAGAAAACATGCTGAGCCGAAGCTTTCCTTGCAGGTTGCCTGGAGGCAGTGTTCATTCATCACAGGAGACTAAGCAAATCACTCTTTTCAGTCCTGGATCATTTCTTCATAGAGTTTCAAAACCATGACTTGATATGTCTCTGTAATTTGTCAGAATTAAAATACACAGTTCTAAAAGTTCAGTAGACATCCCATAGGAGCTAAACATTATCTCTTGGACTAGTTTTGCATGTTACCTAATGCTCAGGGAAAGGAAGTATGCATGATTCATTCTTCCTGTTCTCTGTGCTCTTGAGAACTTACTGATCTCTTCTCCCATTCCGCCCACTCTATCCCCCGATTGCTACCTCCCATAAAGTAGGAAGCAAAAGTTGTCAGTTTGTATTCTTCTGTATGGCAAAATAGTTGAGTAAAACTTCAGACATTATATAGAACATCAGAGAACAGGAAGTATGAACCACTTGCGTTTCCTGTTCTTTTCCCCTTCCTCAAGCCTAAATATTTGGTAATGTTCAGAATCACTATTTATTCATATGTTTGCTTATCTACAGAACAGTGCAAGCTAAAGAAGAAAAGTATTAACAATTTAGATTGATAATTCACTGTTACTGTGATTTAAGTAAGCATCCTCCTTTGGAGGTACAGAACAGGTAGCAACATGCGGTACTGTCACTTGTCCTAATTAGTCTTTCTTCATAACCATTCCTTTCCCTGCATAAATACTACTTTATGTTTTAGTCTTTTTTTATACAAGGAAACATCCCATGTTGTTCTGACAAAATGATATAGCTATCCTATCTTCAGTATAGGATTCTGTGGCTTAGTTTGATTGTCTTAATATGCAGTAACCCCTTTAAGTTTAGCTATGGCCCTGTATGTTCTACAAATTGTCTCTATACTGAAAAGAACTTGTGAAGTAGTACAGCTATAGTTTTCTGCAATGTGGAATGCATGAACAATCCCTAGTAAATTTACTTATGCTTTAAGTTTAAATGGGTGGCACTTTATTGAACATCTGAAGTTGACCATGTTTTAGTACACTGACCCAAAAAAACCCACCAAAGCTGACTGGGATACAGCAGGGATTTGTAGAATAATTGCATTGGATTGTAGTTAATGGCTTTATATAGTTCAAAATGTAAAAGGGAGCAAAACCTATGATCTGCTTTATTTTTTTTTTAAAAAATGCAGGGATTGGCACATCTCCATGCCCATCATGTGATTCATCGAGATATCAAAGGCCAGAATGTATTGTTAACAGAAAATGCAGAGGTGAAACTTGGTACGTTAATTAGCCTTTATAAAAACCTTTTTTTTTTAATATTCCCTGATGTCCAATGTTCTTCCATACAGTGAATTAATGTTACACCATAGCCTCTGGTTACAGAAGAGTGATAGCTGCATAGTACACAATTTTCACAGTGGACAATGTTCTTACTGTCCTTATTTGTTATGAGTGCTACATTTTAATGAAAACTACATTGATGGTAAACCGGTGAAACATATTGAAGAGTTCTAGACTATATTGTAGAGATGAACCTAGCACACTTTTAGTGGAGCATGAAGGCACCATTTGTTTTTATGTTGATTTTAATTGATGACTTACCCTATATAAATTTATTATTTGTACACATTTTTGCCTGTGCCTCTATTTACTTTATAGTAAACTTGGAGAACTCATTTCAGTGTTTTTTTGTCTCCCCCTCCCACCCGGTTCTTAATGAATGTAGTGGATTTTGGTGTTAGTGCTCAGCTGGACAGGACAGTTGGTAGAAGAAATACATTTATTGGAACGCCTTACTGGATGGCTCCAGAAGTTATTGCCTGTGATGAAAACCCAGATGCAACATATGACTACAGAGTAAGAGAATAATACTAATCAAGATGTATACTATTTACTTTTCTCTTGTCTATGCATTAAGTAAATACATTCTGTTTTGTGCTCTGGGAAAGAAGCTTGTCTTTCCCCCTCATCTTTCCTAAACAAATGCCCTTTTTCAGTTTGCCAAGTGAAGTGGCACTCAGATGTATTATAACTTAGAATCATAGAATCCCAGCCTCACCCAATCCAACCCTCTGCCATGCAGGAATACACAATCAAAGCACCCCTAACAGATGGCCATCCAGCCTCTGATTAAATTGCTAATAGAGCTACTTGGTCACTGCCTACCACTGTGAGTGCTGACATCATTCCCTGCATGCAACTAAAAAAAATGTTTATTTTTTCCCCAGTCGTGATCTCTTGCAGAATCTCTGTTGTAGAGTATACAGTTGTAATATTGCAGTGAGGAAAGTTTTCTTCTGTGTTTTCGTTGTGCCCACGTACTGCTATCAATTGAGTCTCTTCTGGTTCACCAAAGCCTGTCTCCACTCAGAAGTTGTCACACCTTTTCTGTCACTGACCAAAGCTAACTGTTCCTCTTGGGAACAACAGGAGTATTGGAGTGATTCAAATCTGCCAAACATCCTGAAAACATCACTTCCTTTTTGGATCTTGTTCGATAATTTTGTTGGAATGTTGGCAAGCTGGAGTTTGGCACATCTGAAGAATTAAGAAACAGCATTGCCTCTACATCCTTGTTCCCTATATTCCAAAATTCATTCTTATGTTTATTTTGGAATAGAATAAGCAGCAGATTGACGATAATGATTTTTCAAGCTTTCCTCTTCCAGTTATCTATTTCAGACTTTCTCTCTGTGCATCTTACTTTTGCTCACCCTTTACTTTCCTGTTGGTGTCAGACCAATCAGTCTAGTTTCCATATTGATGTAATTGTGGTGCCAGCATGGTGTAGTGGTGTAGCATTGGACTAGGATGCTGGAAGATCAGGATTTATGTCTCTGGTCAGTCATGGAAACTCACTGGGTGACCTTGGGCAAGTCATGAGATGTCAGTCTTTGAGGAATGCATTGACAAACAACCACTGAATATATCTTGCCAAGAAAACCCAGTGATAGAGTCACTATAATTTGGAATCAGGAACACAACAGCAGTGTTGACGTAATTACAGTAAATATTTATAGTTCAACAAAGTAGCAAAGTAGCTTTTGATAAATTTAAAATATCCTGAAATTGTACAATCATAGGGGAAGGAGAAAAATAAAGATTTTTAAGGGATTAAGAAAATAAATAAGCATGGCAAGTTCTACAGAAATCCAAGCTCTTTTAAACAGTTAAATTTATTCCATGTTTGTATTCCACATGTAGTACACCAAACTGTAATTAAGTAAGAAGGATGAATGAGTAATATGTTTCCTAACATACACATTTTCTTTTTAGAGTGACCTTTGGTCATGCGGCATTACAGCCATAGAGATGGCAGAAGGTGCTCCCCGTAAGTAATATGTCTTCATTTTATGTTGCCCTGATTTTAGTTTGAAAACTATATTTTGATATAATCTATGCAATCTAAACTTACAGTTAAGATTTTCAAAAGCAGAAAAATGAATCCCTTCACTCTTGAGTTTATGCCCCATCCCTTCTGACAGCAAAAATAGGAGATCCCATAAAGAATAGTGTTCTTTGTCAGGTAACTGTGACAAAGTGGTGGTTGTGCTGGGTGATAAAAACAAAACAAAATAGAAAAAAACTTATACTACAGTGTTACAGAAGCCATATAAACTTTTTGCTGAGAGAAACAGTTATCTCGTAACAGATAATATTGTAGCACTCTTAGTGCTTTACGCACCTGATATGTAAATGACAATCTGTAAGTGATAAACATGCTAAGAAAATGGGTGTTAAGTAATTTTGTTTCTCATCACCAATTTCTATAAGCTATGTAGAATCGCAGCTTTTATTTTCAGGCTTGAGGCATTTTATTATAAAAATAGTCTCTCAAGAATTAGTGTGTGTGCACATGTGTATGTTCACATATATATAACCATGATTCTGTTATCTCTGTAGGAATTCTGGTTGTTGTGTTATTACATCTTTTATGTAGTTTCTCATACCTAAACTCATTTGTTTATATACCAACTAGAATAAGTAAAATTAAATGTGGAATGATGAGTCAATCTTTATGTAAAATCCACTGATTCATGAGTTTACAGTTGGTGGGACTTAGCAATTAGGTTTAAGCTTCATAATCCCACTGCTTGCCATTTGGAATTGCAAACTAACTGTGAGCATTAAAAACAACAACAGAACATCAACTATGCAATCCTTTTTTCTTGTTTTTAGCCCTTTGTGACATGCATCCAATGAGAGCCCTGTTTCTTATTCCCAGAAACCCACCTCCACGTCTAAAATCTAAGAAATGGTATGTGGTTGTTATTTCTTTTCCCTTTAAATATGGAATATTTTTGATACAATATTTTTTCTTCCACAGACCTGAAAAATAAATTCCAGCTTTCTGCAAACAATTTTCTGTATCTCTGAATCAATCAAAAATGAAATACTTGTAAATCATTTATTATTTCCACTTTTTGTACATAAGACATTGAACAAAAGAGAGGTGTTGTGTTTTGACAGAACAGTGTCTTACTAAG